CCTATCCAGTGTAAACAAAAACATGGACATGGAGAAATAAAGCTACAAGTGGTAATTAAAAACTGTTTACACAAAGCCTTGACCATAATAGTCAACTAGGGGAAAGATTTCACATTTCTATGATGTCATGAATTGATACAGACACTATGCAGGCCAGTAACCACAGGCTATGCAAACAATGGACACACACACACACACACGCACACACACACTCACACACACACACACACACTCAATAGTATTGTACATGCTAGTTGCTGTGTAGCCACATGATGGACATACCAACACCCATTAGTGTCACATTAAAGATAAACAGACTCAATAGTGACACACACTCATAAAAGAATAAGAGACAAAGACATGTTAAGCTGATCCAGTTTGTTAATGTAGCCTATTGTAGCTACTATAATCACGTGATGAGCCTGAAATTAAATTTAAACAATATTCAGACATTGTGTCTGAACATTTGACCTGCTATATTTTTGTAATATAATGGTCAGGCAGGATTTCCTACAGGATTTTGGCATACAGTAGTCCTATGCAGCTTCTTGTCAGTGGATTGTTAAGTTATTCAAAAATTGGGCCTAAGACCCAGTACATAGTACAGGATACTTAGACAAAAATTACAAGGAGAGAATTTGCTATTTTTATATTTTTACTGATATATATACATGTTCTTATGTTGTGTATCAACTTTGAGCTGATTCCAATTAAATTTGGATTTATTACGAATTGTCAAAGTTGCTCAAAAATCAGGCCAAAGTCCCTGTACTAATAGTACAGGGACTTTGATCAAATTTTGTCAAAAATGAAAAGTTGAAAATTCTCCATTTTAATAATTTTTCCTGATACATATACATGTTCTTATGCTGTGTAGAAAGTTTGAGCTGGTTCTAATCAAATTTAGATTTTTTTACGAATTTTAAAGTTGCTCAAAAATCTGGCCAAAGTCCCTGTACTATAGTACAGGGACTTTGGTCAGATTTTGTCAAAAATTAAAAGTAGAAAATTCTCAATTTTTATAATTTTTCCTAATACATATGCATGTTCTTATGATGTGTAGAAAGTTTGAGCTGGTTCCAATCAAATTTAGATTTTTTTACGAATTTTAAAGTTGCTCAAAAATCTGGCCAAAGTCCCTGTACTATAGTATAGAGACTTTGGCCAGGTTTCATCGAAAATTAAAAGTAGAAAATTCTCCATTTTAATAATTTGTCCTAATACATATGCATGTTCTTATGATGTGTAGAAAGTTTGGGCTAATTCCGATTGAATTTGGATTTTTTATGAATTTTAAAAGTTGCTCCAAATGCCACGACTCTATTGTAGTACTTGTCAGCTCCTGAAGCTCCTGTTCACTATAAGCATGCTTTGTGGGAGAACATGTTGTTGCATTACTTTGCTTTTAATAAATTTATTTCAAAAATTATATAGTTCAGACAAAATGGTAGAAGACAGAATTTGGTTGAACAATTGAGCAAATGGTCAGAAAATGTTCAATGTCTGACTGTTATTTCAGGCTCTGTTATCCACATACATTATAATACTATGAACTGAGATTCGTTAAGAGCACTAAGCATGTACATGTACATGTACTATACTAACTTGTGTTTCTAAGACCTTGTATCAATTAATGTACACATACACTGTACATCAAATGTATTATGGTAACATTTACATGTGAATTAGTAGATCTACATGAACCTAGTTTCCTTTTACAAATGGTTTACATGTGCACGTATGTGAGTATGCTCATAATATTAGTACATGTACCTGTCTTGCCCTGTTAAGCGCCTGTCGCTCCATGTTTTGAGTTAACTAGAAAAGAGAAAGAGAGAGAGAGAGAGAGGAGGAGGAGGAAAAATAGGTTAATCCCCATGTATGTAATTGTTATCACTATTACAGATTCCACAAATTGCTCTACTAGGCTGGGACAATACAATTGAGAGATGTGATAGTCATCACAAGGGACTTACCCTCTGGAGATTTTTAAACTTTATTCCAGCTGTACTGAATGTTGTCATTAACATTTCAAATTGATTCCGTTCAGTCTGAGAAAAAGAAAAATAGCTATTAATAATATCCCAAGAGTGTACTAGAATATCCTAGTATAACACATATAATTATTCCACAACTTACAGGTGTAAATTGGTTACTTTGAAGTCTTAATTTCTGGACAGAGGTGTTAGTAATCTTAGCTAACTGAGCAGTGTCTGTTACTAACTGAATACTGAAACAGGTGGATTACAGGATTAGTTAGAC